CGTAGTTGTATTTCCTAAACCTTCTTGTATAAACCAATAGAAGAAAAGTAACAGTGCACTTGTTTTCGAGAAAATAATTTTAAGCCAATATAGGCTTATGTCAGGCATCGTGGTGAAAAAGTATCGACCGAGTAACACTATGGAAGATACTGAGATATCTTTAAATCCCACAGAAGTTGGTGAACCTCATCAAGAGCAGGGTTGTACATGATGGCCTGTTCACTGAGAGCTTTGACAACAAGATTGGTGTGAAACGAGGATGTTTACTATAACCTATCCTCTTCATTTTGTGGATCGATTGGCTGATGAAGGAAACCACCAGAGGACACAAAAATAGGACACAATGGTCCCCATTTGCACAGTTGGACGAACTGGACGTTGCGGACGACTTGGCACTTCTGTCGCACACTCAGGTACAGATGGAAGCAAAGACTTCATTCAGTTTAAAACAGCTTATCAGAGTCGGTTGGATTGAAGATCCACCCGGGAAAGTAAAAGGTCCAAAGGATAGATGAACAACTAAAGGAACAGTTCACAATAGAAGAAAAAACCCTTGAAGACGTTGTATCCTTCTGGTACCCTTGGGAGTATAATTGGCAGAGAGGGAGGAACAGGTGCTGAAATAAAGTCGCGCATCGGAAAGGCACAGCAGGCTGCTTTCATATCTTTGAAAAAGATTTGGTGGACCAGAGATATTTCACTTAGAACAAATCTGAGGATTTTTAATTCAAATGTGAAGTCAGTCCTGTTTTATGGGTATGAGACATGGTAATCATCTTAGACTTCCAAAGAGAGAATCCAGGTTTTCTGGAACAAGCGTCTAATGAAGGTACGGAGGATCAGATGGACAAACAGGTTCACCAACGAGAAAGTGTTTGAGGAAAACGAGAAAGATCCCAGTCAGAGATGAAGGGGAAAGAAGGCGATGGAGATGGACTGGACAATCTCTCAGGAAGTCAGGCATAACAAAGAAAGTGTTAAATTGGAACCCACAAGGTAATCAATGGGCAAATTTCGTGGAGCATGGAGAAGAGACACAGAAATAGATGTACAGAAAAGTTGGAAGACAAGGAATAACATCAAGAGGCTAGCCCAGGGTATGGAAAGGTGGAAAGTGTTTGTTCGTGGTCTATACGCTGATCCAAGGGGAGAAAGACAATGATGATGATCATGGTGAAATCAAGTGCTCGTCAAAATAATCGAACTGAAGAAGTCGGCATTTTCC